TAAAGATTTTATTTATTTATTTGTCAAAGAGAGAGAGAGCGCACGCACATGAGCCGGGGGGAGCGGCAGGCAGAGAGAGAAGCAGGCTCCCCTCTGAGCAGAGAGCCTGATGTGGGACTCGATCCTATGACCCTGGGATCATGACCTGTGCCGAAGGCAGACGTTTAACTGACTGAGCCAACCAGGCATCCCTTGTTTTTATTTTAGAAGTCAAAAAGATATATGCATTAAGAATTCAGGTAATATTAGATTGGTGCCTTATTAGTCTTAATAGAAAATAACAAGCTTTACAATCTACACATTTAATGCAATTCCTATAAAATAACAACAGCATTTTTCACAGAGCTAGAACAAACAATTCTAAAATTTGTATGGAACCACAGATGACCCCAAATAGCCAAAGCAATCTTGAAAAAAAAAAGCAAAGCAAAGCTGGAGGCATCACAATTCCAGACTTCAGGCGATATTACAAAGCTCTAGTAATCAAAACAGTATGGTACTGGCACAAAAGGAGACACAAAGATCAATGGAACAGAACTGAAAATCCAGAAAATCCAGAAAAAAACCCCCCCCACAATTATATGGTCAATTAATCTTCAACAAGGCAGGAAAGAATATCCAATGGGAAAATGTTTCTTCAACAAATGGTATTGGGAAAACAGGACGGCAACATGCAAAAGAATGAAACTGGACCACTTTCTTACACTATCCACAAAAATAAATTCAAAATTGATTAAAGACCTAAACGTGAAACCTGAAACCATAAAAATTCTAGAAGAGAACACAGGCAATAACTTTTTTGACATAGGCTGTAGCAACTTCTTTCTAGATATGAAACTTCTTTCCAGATATGTCTCCTGAGGCAAGGAAAATGAAAGCAAAAATAAACTATTGGGATTACATCAAAATAGAAAGCCCAGCAAAGGAAACAGTGAACAAAACGAAAATGAAAAGGCAACGTATGGAATGGAAGAAGATATTTGCCAATGCCATATCCAATAAAGGGTTAGTATCCAAAATAAGTAAAGAACTTATAAAACTCAATACCCCCAAAACCAAATAATCTAATTAAGATGGGCAGAAGACATGAACAGACATTTCTCCAAAGACGACATCCAGATGGGCAACAGACACATGAAAAGATGTTTATCATCACTCATCATCAGAGAAATGCAAATCAAAACCACGATGAGATATCACCTCAAACCTGTAATAATGGCCCAAATCAACAACACAAGAAACAATAGGTGTTGGTGAGGTTGTGGAGATAAAGGAACCCTTGTGCACTGTTGGTAGGAATGAAAACTGGTGCAGTCACTCTGGAAAATAGTATGGAGGTTCCTCAGAAAGTTAAAAATAGAACAACCTTATGCTACAGCAATCACACTACTGGGTATTTACTCAAAGAATACAAGAACACCAATTCAAGGGCCACCTGGCTGGCTCAGTTGGAGGGGTGTACAACTCTTGACCTTGGGGTTGGGAGTTCAAGCCCCATGTTGGGTATAGATTACTTACATAAATAAATATTTTTTTTCATACATAAATATCTTTTTTAAAAAAGAGCACTAATTCAAAGGGATATATGCACCCCTATGTCTATAACAGCATTATTTACAATATCCAAGATATGGAAGGAGCCCAAGTGTCCACTGATTGATGAATGGATAAAAATGTGGGATCTACATACAATGGAATATCATTCAGCTTTTAAAAAAGAATGAAATCTTGCCATTTGCAACAACATGGATGGAGTTAGAGAGTATAATGCTAAGCAAAATAAGCCAGTCAGAGAAAGACAAATACCTTATAAATTCACTCACACGCGGAATTTAAGAAACAACAAACGAGCAAAAGGAAAAAGAGAGACAAAACAAGAAAGACTCTTAGCTATAGAGAACAAACTGATGGTTACAAGAGGGGAGGTGGGTGTGGGAAGGGGTGAAACAGATGATGGGGATTAAGAGAACACTTATCATGATGAGCACCAGGTGATGTATGGAAGTGCTGTATCACTATATTGTACACCTGAAACTAATATAATACTGTATGTTAACTACCTGGAATTAAAATAAAAATTTTAAATTAAAAAAAAAAACCTACCAAAAAAAAAAAAAAAAGGAGAAGAAGAAGAAAAAGAAGAAGAAGAAATGAAAAGAAAAAACTAATGATGTAATGTATGGGGATTAACATAAGAATAAAAAAATATATATATATAAAAAAAAAAAAAAATGAAAAGAAAATACCAGGCTTTCAAGTCCCCGAAAGACCAAAGCACATTTGGGGAGATCATTTCCCTTTGTACAACCTGTACCACACTTTTATCTTTTGTTTTTGCAACATCTTGTAACTATAGAATTTCCAGGGCTATTTCTGGACAGTCCCAAGAGATGGAGACATAATTAACAGTGCTCCATATAAAATACAAGTTACGTAGACCATCACACTTTAATTACTCTCAGAATCCAACTCTAATGTAATAGGTATCAAGTTTCTTCTGGAGGAAAACACAGCAGGCCCCTGCTATCTGAGTCTTCGAGATCTCTCTCTGATACTTCTGCACGGCCTTGTCACTGCACCAAGATACTGTGCTGCGATAAATGAATCAGATGATGCAATTAGGAAGCAGGCTCTTCAGGTTACCCTTGTAATCACTCAGTCACGTCACAGGCATATTCCAGCCTGCCGTGTTTTCTAGCACTGTAGACCCAGGATGCCTGAGGAGAGCGGCCCACGCCAATCAGGGGCTTGCAGCTCTGAACTGTAATTACCTCCTTGAACCATAAGGCATAGAGAGGTCACATCCTGCCAATGCCACGATAAATTAAACCAAATAACACCCTCTGGAATCCTTTAACCATAATGGAAGCTCCGAATCCCTACACACACGAGCCTGATAAATACTTCTGTAGATCAACTGACTGCTAAGCTGTCTGCCTGGGGGATATTAAACTATAAAAGTTGGAGACTGAAGGCTGTGTAGTGCAGTGTTCAGTGGGGGTGACTGCCTCCTGGCTCTCATATGCTGGGATATCCTGTGCTCGCTGGAGTGCTCTCAAGCCAGAGGGCCACAGGTAAAAAGGACATGGGGGAAGTTCAGAGAAGAACCACAGGACCAAAGAAAGGCTGCAGAATCAAACCAACTCAGAAAAGCCAACGGAACTGGAATTTCTCTATAGGGACAAGACCTAAAGAAAATTAAGGACCCCACAAGCAAGGAAATAACTCAGTTACTGTTATTTTGTCCCTGAGAAAGGACTAGGGAAAATTAAATTATACCATGTACATTTAAGTTAGAGATAGAGATGTACCTGATAATAAAGGTAATGTTTGGAATGGCCAGGGACTTTTAAAAGCCTTTGTTCATTTTGAATTTTACTGTAGCTATTTTTACGTAAGGTGCATTCTTATTTCTCACCTTACTATGCAAGTCTTTTGAATGGTGAGGTCAAAGTAGTAATTTTCCTAAAAACAAAAAAACCTCTTGTGCTCTCTCAGTCTTCTGTATCTATCTTCTTTCCTTCCTTTTTTCCTATCAAACACTGTAAACTTGCAAACCAGCGGGGTTCAATCTGTGCCACTTGGCTTGCAGGGACATGGCTACTGGTGACCGCAGCACCGTGCACAGCTGCCTGGGAGGCCCCAGAACGTGAAGGCAGACAAGAGCCTGTGCAGTAAGGGAGAAGGCTGATGGGGACCTAAAAGGAACAATGGGACAGAGGAAGAAGGCAACTGATTCAATCAGGATTCCCTAACACAATCTCCAATATGAAAGAGAAAGAAAACAGGAAGTTCCAACTGAATTAAAAAAACCAGAAGGTGTCTGGGAGGTGGGCGTTGTGTGAACTCAGCCAACCTCAGAGCTCCCCCCTTTCCAAGTCTCAGCTCAAGTGGGGAGGTGAACACTCTCTCCTGCCCACTCTTCCTAGCCCCCAACTAAATATCTGACCGTTCACCATCTCTGAACTGATTTTCTCCACCGGTACAATAGGAAGAAAATCTCTGTGCCCTATGTTCCCCAGATTACAAAAGCTAATGAGAAAACATGTTAGAAACCACTAAGGTTCTCGTAAAACAGATGCCCAGGGAGCACGGCACCTCCTGTAGTTTTTGGCTTGTTTTTTCAGGGTGCATTGGTCTTTATTCCTGCTCTTAAAAAATGCACATAAATTCCACAGAGTTGCCTCCCACGAAGGGAAAACACCCCCACCGGTCAGGTTCTGAGGATTGCCTGTGAGTCCTGCCATCTGACCCTGGTTTAGGTAATGAAGCCAGTCCATTTGGCCCACTGAGCCCCCAAATTCCCAGGCCTGAGAAGTCCCAAGTACAAGGGAGGGCAGGGTTCAAGGCTAGAAGGCTTATACCAAAAGAAAACTTAAAAGAATTCTTAGCTGTTTTTGTTGTTTTAACCTTTCTTCCAGGATTTTGTTTTATACCTCCTCTCATTTGTAAGGTCTTCATTTTTTAAAACTTACTTTTCTTTTTTCTTTTTTTTTTTTTAAAGATTTTATTTATTTATTTGAGAGAGAGAATGAGAGAGAGAGTGAACATGAGAGGTGAGAGGGTCAGAGGGAGAAGCAGACTCCCTGCCGAGCAGGGAGCCTGATGCGGGACTCGATCCAGGGACTCCAGGATCATGACCTGAGCCGAAGGCAGTCGCTTAACCAACTGAGCCACCCAGGCGCCCCTTAAAACTTACTTTTCATATGGAAATAAGAACTACTGTTTTAAAACAGTGTGCCTTAGTATCAGTTCTCGTGAGGGTGCCCTCTAAGGTGCACTGACCCAGTAAATCTCACACCTCTCCCCGTTTTCAAGACACGCTCCAACCATGCAGAAAAGCCCCCTAAGCTGGGTATTCCTATAACAAAATGCAGATACATGATTATTTTAAAAGGTGCCAACTGCTCTCGTTTACATTTCCCCTTGCTTTGACTAAAAGAGAGGATACCCAGCATCCTCTTTAAGGATTTTTCTCCTCATCAAAGCCCAGCACGTACCAGTAATGAATCTTTCAAAAAGCATTCGATCCTTCTCAGGAAATTTCTCTCACTGGAGATTAGCTTATCAAAAAGATGCAGTGTTGCTTTTTCAAGGCCGGGGAGGTGCCGAAGCCAGAGGCAGACTACAGCTGATGTGGGGAGAGAAATCTTCTTCCTTTCAGCAAGAATAAACAAAATTTTAAACAGAAATGGGTTACTAAGAAAATAAGATTGAGACAGATCAAAATGCAGTAATGAGTCCAGTTTGTGAATCTTCTTTTCATCATGGTCGTACAGCAGTTAATATTTACAGTAATCAATGAATATTTACCAAGTGTAAGTTTGCAAAATAATGTGAATCTGCTTCCAATTCAACTCAAGAAATTAGAGAAATGCCCAAAGAAACGCTTTCCAAAAGGAAAAACAAGTAGTAGTGACAGAAGTGTTAGTGACAGAAAGATTAGTGATAAAGATGGGAAAAGGCCTTGACGGATACCGTCCCGAATTTAAGAAAGTTATGTTTGAAAGTACATCATAAGGATTTAAAGTATGTAATCAGACCAGAGCCACCACCTACTAACTCGATGGCCTTGGGAAAGTTACTTAAACTCCAAACCTCAGTATACTCATCTGTAAAGTGGGCCTATCTCCCTCACCGTGTTCTCAGAAGGATCAAATGCAGTAATAATACATGTGCAGAGATTAGCACAATGCTTGACATCTAGTGAATATTCAGTGGCTGTATTTGTGAATCTGTCACTTGAAAGTTAAAAAATATTTTCCTTTAGTAATCATTTCAAAAATGGTGGTAACAGCCTGGTAGATCCATAGCTGATCCCTACCATGGTACTCTATGGGCCCCAAATAATTTGTGAAGCTATGTTTCCACAGGAGAATGTACGTGGATGTTCCTCCTGAGTCAGGTCAGTGAATCAGGGGTTCTCCCTCCTCTCCTGGGAGGGAGCATGAGGGGACACCTAATTCTGAGCCACTGGTGGCTCCTCCCTGTGAACACTGGGCCTGTTTTGGCCTGGGGAGACTTCTCTTTCTCCTTTCAGCCCAGCTTTTCCAAGACCTCCCTCCCTTCACCTGTGGTATCACAGACATCAGAGTACTTGCCAGGTTCTGCCAAAGATGTTTACTGCCTTTACTAAGAAAAACAGAAGCTGAGGGCACAAAGGCCCCCTCTTAGCCAAAAACCCCTTCAGGCCTTTCCCTTCACCACGGCTTCTGGGCCACTTCTCTGCAGGAGCTGGTGTGAAGCCCAGAGCATGGGCGCAGGCGCAGGAAATGAATAGGCAGGGTCACAGTGCAATTTCTCATGATTTCTCTGTTTTCTTCTCCCTCGGCGTACCTCCTGTAGACCTTTGTCCTGGATTAACTCTGGGGCCAGACAAAGCTGAAGAGTCAGAAGGACTCTCACAGACAGGCAGAGTACAGGACAAAGGGCAGGACGGAGGCCCCCCTTTGACCCTCTTTCTCATCTCATGTTCTCACCCTGAGCTTCAACTCTTCTGGGAAGTCTTGCAGGACCCCCTTCCCTCACCTCCCCACACCTGGCAAAGAAGAACTGCCACGGTGCCCCCCCTCTTGCATCACCTGGCCCATCTGGGGGCCATGCTATGGATGTCCTCTCTTGTGCCACTGGTGCTTTGGGCTGCAAGCCCCATGCCACCTCCCCTATCATCCTGGATGGCAAGGAGCTGGTGGGCATCCATGCAAGGAAGAGGAGCACTTCCTGTGAGGCATTCAAAGTGCCAGGTGCAGGCCAAGCAGATGGGAACAAAACAGACCTAGTCTGTACCCCTAGCACTTGGGGCCCAGTGGGAGGTACACATACACATACTAAATTGAGAAAAAGGCAATGAAGGAAAAGGGCAGGCTGAGGTAAAAGAGAGTAATAGAAGGGGCCTGACTGAGACTGGGTGGTCAGGATGGCCTCTCCAGCTGAGTTGAGATTAGCTAGGTGAAGAGTAGCCAGAAGGGCATTTCAGCTGAGGGAATGGCAGCCGTGATGGTCCTGAGACAGGGAAGAGCAATGTCAGACGGAGAGAGAAACCCCAGAGAGCGAAGGTGAGGTGGCTTGTAAGGCTTTGGGATTCTATTCAGTGATTATTCTGGTCCAAAGGACTTTATACGGAGGAGTGCCAGGATGCGGTTTGCAGTCAAAGGTCAGTCCGGCTGCAGCAGGGAGAACGGAGTGTGGGCCTAGAATGGGTGTAGGGAGCTCAGGAGCCCAGGGGGGCCAGTGCTGGCGGTGCTGGCGTGACCCAGGCAGCAGTGGAGGAGTGAACGGATGGCCTTCCTGGGTAAGCAAGATGCCTGGACCCTGTGTCCACTCCCTTCAGTGTTTGCGGAAGTCTTTTTAAAGTCTAGGCTGTCAGGCTGTCAGCCAGTTTTAGTCACATTAACAGACCCCTGGGAGAGGTTTCCATCCAGCTTTCTACAGGAGAACTTCCCTGGACAGGGGCGAGGGTATCTGTAGCCCCTGTCATGAACCAGAAAGCCCCCAAGAGGCAGGGATGCTCTGAGGTGCAGAGGGAACTTGGCTGCTCAGTGGCTCCTCCCTTCCCAAACAGCAGGGACATCTTTTGACCTGCATTCACCACATCTTTTTTTTTTTTTCAGGATCCATATGAAATAACTATGTATGTCATTAGAGAAGTTTCTCACTTCAGGGAGAGTTCTTCATGCAACACCATTCCCAGGGCCTCTGAGCAGCCGTGTGCAGTAAGTGTGATTTTTACCTAATGGTCACAGTGGCCGAGTGATGCCTGGCAGCACAAAGGTATGAGCCGTTGAGAATGAGCAGTAGATAAACATGAACAAATATAAAAAGGAAGCTAGTGTAACATGGTAGTTCCATCAGATATCTGAAATAAAAAATACTGCTTAAAAATTTACATAAGATCTGCAAAATTATATACTCAAGTCAGTAAGTACATAATATTTTTGTTCTGTTCTCAGAAACAGTTTAAAAAATGTGTATGTTGGGCACCTGGCTGGCTCAGTTGGTTAGTGGCTGCCTTTGGCTCAGGTCATGATCCCAGGAGTCCTGGGATGGAGCCCCACATCGGGCTCCTTGCTTAGCGGGGAGCCTGCTTCTCCCTCTGCCTGCCACTCCCCCCCTGCTTGTGCTTGCTCTCTCCCTTCCCCATGTCAAAAAAATAAATAAAATCTTTAAAAAAAATAAAAAATAAAAAATGTGTATGTTAACAATTATCTTTTTATTACCCTTTATTCAGAGTATACTCATTTATTTGCTGTGATTAAATTTATGAACTCATGTTGAAGAAAACAATCTATTTTGCCCTAAAACATCAAAAATTTAACTCTTTATAATCAATACTGGTGATGAAGAAATCACCAAAACAATATGATCTTAATATACTTGCATAACAGAATTTGACTAGACCAACACATTCATATTATGTAAAATGTTCTAAAAGTATACCAGGTTGGTTTTGAAATAAAAAAGGCAAATTACATTATATGTCAATTACATCTCAATAAAACCGGGGGCTGGGAGGAGGCAAATTATGAAAGAACACAAATGGCCAATAAAGATATGCAGATTTTCAACCTTATTAATAGTAAAGAAAGGTAAACTAACACAGCTATCATTTTCCTCCTCACACATCAGCAAATGTTTACGACAACGTCCAATGCTTTAGTAGGTACAGGGGACATATGTTCTCAGAGGTGAGATGGAATGGCTTTGCTCTTTTGTTTATGCATACCATCTAACGAATTGTAGAACAGACATTATCCTGGCTTTCATAACCATACTTTTGTGAATCTGCCTGGCAGAAATAAAAGCATCAGTTGGAGGATATTCACTGCAGCAATATTATAAAAACAAAATTAGAAACAACTTGAATGCATCTACTGGAAAGTAGCTGAATAAATTAAGGTCCATTCATATCAGGGAATATGCTCCTATTTTATAAAAATGAGCTGGATCTATAACCCCTGAGGGCTAGCCAAAATATATTGGTTAGAAAACAGGTTCCAGAGTCATGTGTATGGTGTGATGCTGTTTTTGTTTTTTGTTTTTAAAACTACTTAAAAAAAAAATAACTGTTTTATATAGATTTCTATGTTTACAAGAATATAAGGTATGGTTATCAGAAGTACTAGAGGGTGATAATGAGAGGATAATTAACATTTTCTGTATATACTTCTGTATTGTATTGTTTGACCAGATAAAATGAATATATTATTTCTGTGGAAATTTAAAGAGCCAATAAAGTCACAGAAGATAAAAATGTTTTAAAGGACACTGAAAAATTTCATTCTACTCTACTGAACATGTGTTAGTCATAGAAACACTAAGGCAGTCCTTTTTCTACTCTAACCATACTTACTCCATCTATCTAGCCCAGATACCGATCAAAACTTGGTGTAATACATTAAAAGTTTCTCATTTAAAATAGGAGGAATAGGCTTCCAGTCAGTGCTTTCATGTGGAGCAACTAAGTCTTTTTTTTTTTTTAAGATTTATTTATTTATTTGAGAGAGAGAACGTGTGTGTGACTGGGGGGCAAGAGCAGAGGGAGAGAATCTTTAAGCAGACCCTCTGTCAGGTGGAGAGCCTGACATGCGGCTCGAATCCCACGACTCATGAAATTATGACCTGAGCCGAAACCTAGAGTCAGACATCCAATCCACCGAGCCACCCAGGCGCCCCAAACATCTGAGTCCTAGTAACAATTTCTGACACAAAGCAGGAGAAGCCTGACAGGACACTACCGTGTCCAACATCTCCTGCTATTAGTCTGCTAGATAAATGCCTCCTTGGCATTTAGAAAACTATACTTTGTTTCTCCAAAATACTGAGGCTGTTGTTTGTCCCATCTCTTCCAAAAAGAGGCAGTATATAAAGAAAATGGTTCAGGTGCTTAATAAATAATTTTGGCTCCAACTGTTTTTTGATAGCTACAATAGAAACAGAATGTGGAATTCAATTCTTTGCAAAAACGGTTCTTAATGAAGGCAGTGCCTGTCAGTAGGGAATGTCAGAGAGGCGAAGGGAAGGATGAAGCTTCCTCACTCAAGACAAACAGGCAGTAGTCCACCTTTCCAAACCAGAAAGAGATCAGGGCTGTTTGGGTTGCCAGAGAAGCCCACAAAAATCGGATCAGCTTTTCTGGAGAACTACTTAATTCCAAGGAA